ATCTATGTGTTTTGTCTTATTATGAGAAACTCTTTTATATATATATATATATATATAATATTTAAATTACATCAACAATATCATTAATATTCATTTTTTTAAATAAAATATAATTTATATGCATAGAGTTTGTTATCATCTAGATATTAAATGCAATATAAGTTAATATTAAAGTTTAAGTGTTGGATTTTTAAATGTACAGGAATTGTGGTTTGTATGCAAATCCATCTAACTATAGTTTTTCTAATAAATGTAATAATTAATTATAAATAATTTTTCCAATTATTAAATGCAATAGGGTTGATTGAATTTTATGTTGTTATTATTTTTTTTATTATTATTTTGTTACTTGTATTATTATGATTTGGAACATTCATGGAAGTTTAAAAGGAGTTTTTCATCATAATGTTATGGAAATCCGAGATGCAATTTTTCAGGCAATGGCAATTTGGCGATAATGTTAGGCTAACGATGGCTTGGAGATAACAATAAGATGACAATAATGCTTGATAATGATCATTGATGTTGGTTATTAGACATTGTTATATATTTTGTTAGACCTTGAACGTCTCTCCAATTTTTAATTTTAGATCTTTGATTTTGGAAATTAAAATTATTAATAATTTATTATAGTGATATTATGATTATGTTAGCCAAAATACCTTAATAATCTATGAAATGAGACACAAATTTTTTTGTAGTAATAGATTCTTCAATTTAGTACTTAAGTGTCCTGATAAACTAGTAATGGATTAATCTTATATTTTCTTAGATTCCTTTCATGAAAAGACTCAATTTGATTACTAGATTAAGTTTCTCGTTAGGAATCACAGTAACCCATTTACTCTTTAAGTCTGTGCCTTAGCTGTTGGTGAATCAAACTAACAATTGTTCGAAGCACAAGTGATATTATGCACCAATATTTTGCAAAAAAACTAAAGATGAAATAGAAAGACTTGAATACTTTCAGATGGAACGCGTTTTGTGAGAAAAAAATTAATTAGTTGACCTCCTTTTCCAAGGAAAGGGAACCTACAATAAATGATTTGAAACATTGGAGTGGCTTGCCATCGAAGAAGTCGAAGTTGCAAACATTGAATCTGAATTCACTACTGGTCGGATCAATCTAATCAAAGATTACATATTAGTTAACATGAATTATGTCATTAGAAGTCAAAGATTCAGGAAAGATTTATATCTAATCTACACACTTCCTAATTATTAACGGGCTATATTCAAATAGTCCATAACTTTCATCTCTCTCAAATGCGTTACGAAAGTTGATAAAGCAAATATCTTGTAAGAAGTTCATTCAGGAGAATATGGAAGTCTCTCAGGAGGAAGAGCCATTGCAAGCAAAATATTAAGAAATTGTTACTAAGAACCTACACTTAGAGTATATGTAGAATAATTTGCTAAAAGGCTTGAGCAATGTCAAAATTTTGCCCCCATGCGATTACAACCTTCACCCAAACTGCAACCTATAAAAAATCATTCACCCTTCATTGTGTGAGGGATGGATTTCTTGGACCTTTTCCTTCTCACAGAGGATAGAGGAAATATATTCTTGTAACGATTGATTATTTTTCAAAATGAATTAAGGCTTAACACCTACCCAAAATTACATCCAATGTGAATAGAAATTTCAATTGAGTAGATGGTATTTGCAGATATGACTCGCCTATGATAACTGTTACTGAAAATGACACGCATTTTACCGATAAGGAAGTAAAGTAACTCTTCAGTAAATAGAGAATATGCTTGAAGTTCAAGTTCGTAGATCACCTTAAAACCAATGGTCAAGTAGAAGCTGTCAATAAACTCATTATAAACTGCACAAAATGAAACTAGAAGTAACAAACAAAATGGGCTCAAGCGTTGCCATCAATATTACGATCACTTCTTACCACAACATTTACATATATAGGACAAACTCCCTTTGTCATATCACACAAAGTTTAAGTAGTAATTATGTTAGAATATGAAGTGTGCAACTAACGACTACTCAACACATCAAATTTTGTTGGATTAGAGTTAAAAGACTGGAGAATGCCAAATAATGAAGGCTTACAAAATTCTTTGGACTTCTTAGAGGAGATATGTTACCAATCTTAAGAAGAAGCCAAAAGAAGGATGCTCAAGAATTAGAACTCAAAAGTAAAAGAGTGGCAATTCATAACAGATTACCTGGTATTAAAAAAAGGTGTACGTTGTAGCTGATAATCATGTTATGGGAAAAATTGATCCTTTGTGTTCCAGACCTTACATTATAAAGGAACAAGTCAAACTATGATCCTTTAGGCTCATCATTCACCTTGACAAAGAAGTCTCCAAAATTTAGAACGAAGAAGACTTAAAGATATTCTACCCCTAAAACTTGGCAGCACACTAATACTCACAAAAGGAGCCAAGTGCTTGTTACACGTACTTCAGTTCATGCATAAATTTTACCATTGTCACTCTTAATTATCGATATTCGCTTGTGACAAAACAAATTAAAATGAGAAGAATCATCCCCAGGGTAAGAAAAAGTTTACTCGGATGGTATGGACTATCATTTACTGGAAAGATTAAAAATCCCCATACAAAAAAAATCTCACAACAGTAGCTAAATGCCCCCAAGGAAGTAAAACCTATAGGAGAGTCAAAAATCCTCAGAGAGAGCATGGACCTTGCCTGAGATGAATTTTTCTTTTCTCTGAGTACAAAACCACTACAATTTAAGTTCATGAGCAAATATCATTAAAACATATTCAATTTAAGAAAGTCGTATAAATGAAGTCGCGCTCATCCTATATGTTTTAGAAAAAAAAATATAAACATACATCGATTAAAGATGAGAAAGCGCATTGAAACATTTCATATATGGTGATCGAGGAAATCATCTGAGACCATAATAAAAGGCATACAACAATATTCGGTAAAAAATAAGATAAAATCAATCAAAATATATTTTATTCATGATGGAAAAAATTACAAAATAGAACTCTTTACCACAAAAAAATAAAATGTAAAGATACAAACATAATGATGTTGTAACGAAGATTCAAAATACACGTTTATAAGCTCACGACAAACATGATGCGACACTTATCTTTTGATGGAAGGAGCTCTAAAAATATCCCTCGAATATTGTTTGGATCAGGAAAGTCTCTAGTCCTACCCTTGTTATTAAAATTTTTTAACTAATGTCTTATTCTATCAAAAAATCATAGTAAAAGTGTTTTGGTTGATTGACTTCCCTGATTCAAGGATATAGGTCCATTAGGTATGAACTGGCAGAACTAAAAATTCAAAATGACTCTATGTGGGAGAGCAAAGACCTCCGAAGACAAACCATTCACACTTCTTCAACATCTCAAGATTATGCTCTCTACAGGTAATACAATGCCCTTATAAGAAGACCAATTTTCACTCCGTGACGTGTGCATACGGTTTTGACTTTTCACAGGTACAACCAAAATTCCCCTCAGACAAGGAAAGTCCATTTCCAAATCACATCGTGTCCAGACCTTGATGCCCCTTAAATTGATTTATAGATCGTGATAAATATGTAATACTTTCACAGTTACATAAAATAAAAAATTTCATTCTTTTGTTCTCCTCATAACCTTTGGTAAAAAATCAAGAGTGTGAAAACTAAATGTATACTCAAATAAGACCGTACAAACTTAGATCAAATTTGTACATGAGCATTACATAATAATTGATAGGTCTTATGGGTCGCGAAGCTCCATATTAGAAAGTCAGGCCATTCCCACAAATTAAGCTCATATCTTGAAGTGGTCGAATTGTGCTACTATCAAAGTTGTTTAATCAATCTCATTCATCAAAGTGATCGAATTGAGCTCACCTGTTGAAGTGGTTAAACAGAGTCCACTTGTCGAAGTTGTCAAATTAACCCGGGACAAACCAACTACCGGGGAAGACCAAATTACATACAAGGACATGCATCCGTCCTTATTTAAAGCCTCCTTACACCCACATCCCGATCTTCACATAAAGATACCGTGAACATGCATAGTACTGTACGAGCTGTACTTTTAAAATTTTTTTATGTATAGGAGGTAAAATTATTGCGTCCGCCCACCGCACGCAGAGATGCGTGCGGTGGACCAATAAAAACTCCTCCTTTACCAAAAAGTGTATGTCAATAGACCCACTTTTAATTCTTTTTCATTGGACCGCCGTCCGTTCTTAATAATCCCTTGTATAGGAGACAAGTAAAAAGTATAGGGAGACATTCAAAAAAAGACTGATCAATTAAATCCAGACCCTCTCTCCCAGTCGAACAAAAAAATCCTTTCTTCTAATCATTTCTTCCTCCCCCCTATGGATTCAGAAAAGAAAATAAGAACTCAAGCTTTAGCATCACATTCATCATCTTCTTCAACGTCTTTCTCCTAAAACATGATATTTCTCAATTTATCTGAACTCACAAACAATATAAGATCTTACAACGCAAAAGATTTCAGCAATAAATCATTAATTTTTTTTTTGAAATTTTTGGATGAATTATTCTCATCCCTGACTCCATCAATCCTAACCACTAACCTATTCATCTTGAGATAGTCGGTTCATTCTATCAATTAGTTTAATTTTTGATACATTATTAAAACAAAAAAAGTGCTTAAAGTCGAAATTTCGGGCTTATCCAATCACAATCACATCTCTTTGATAAAATCGCTTCTATTAAAAAAAAAAAAAAAAGCGCCCTGCTGTTCTTGTGGGACCTACAGAGACAACACTTTGCAGCGCTCTATTCGCTTGCAGAAGATAACACGAATGAACGCACCGTACCGCATAGATCGTACCGTCCGCAAGCTCAACCCGACCACCACCTCGTAAGCGGACGGCTCGATCTAGGCGGCGCACTGCGACTGTTCTCGTGGAGCGTTCTCCACCACACGGCCTTGATCTTTGGCCCCCCCCTTTCTCTCTTTTCTGTTCAGATATGCCTTCTCCGCGTCTCCCCGATTCTACCGGTTTTTTATCAGAGCTCGTGTCGTTCGGATTCCACGTTCTAGGGTTTTGTAATTTCGTTTTCGG